AAATTAATATGATGCATCCAGTGTGTCTGGTTTTAGAGGTTAAGGACTATCCTTTGTGGTTTGGACAATGTAGCACTAGTTTGTATACAATGGTGGAACATTATTTTTTGTTTTCTATTTCCAGGTGAAGCCTTGAGGTGCAACTGTGGAGGCACCGCAAGATGTTCACAGCGTGTTGAGACCTGTTCCGGAAATAATCCAGTCTGTGCCAGCATCATCCTTCAAGCTGGATCCAGTAAGTACAGACTGCTCCCTCAGTGTGGTGTTCAGCTAAAAAACAAAGAGGAAAAAAAATCCTTATGTGGATCAGTTTAGAGTCGTCTCATAATCCATCCTGTCTTTATTTCATGTTTTCACAGATGTCAGCTATTTCAAGCGTTGCATGAAGGAAAATGACTGCAGGCTGCTGCTTATTTCACATTCTGCATCTGGCTTTTGCTGCAGCACTGATCTTTGCAACTGATGAATGGACAATAATCAAGCAACACATCTCCCAGTATTAGTAATACTGTCATGTGTTTTGTACTTTTCCACATTGTCATAATAAAGATCAAGATCATCAGTTGTAACTTTTGTCCTTTTTAAAACATTTTCTAATGGTAATTGTACGGTGGGCAAACAACATGTTCCTGAATTTAAATGTCATTGTTCGAACATATTTATAACATCCCAAGTTAATCCTTCTCAAAATTTTCTATTTTACTCAAATATAATCAGTGGTGGAAGAAGTACTCAGTTCTTCAACATAAAAGTGACAATACCACAGTAGAAATACTCTGTTAAATCAAATATATACTTAAAGTACACATTGTGCAGGATGGCCCATGCCAGAATTATGTATATATATGATGTCCCTGGATTCAAATACATCCAACAACAAAAAAGTACACTGCTTAACGTTTTTTTTTAACAGTGAGTTGGCTTCTTGTGGCTCAACTTTCGAGGCCCACTATCCGGCCATTTGATTGGTTGTCAGATTGTATCACATGACTGAAGAAACCAGGAAGTGTTTTGGTTACACAAGGCGGAAGCGTATTTTTTACCGAACCTGAAAGTGTTTTAGTTCTTAGCAGAAAACATTGTTAACGTGGAGCAACACGGTTATTACTCACTATCCACAGGGCGAAGTGGATATTGTTTTTCATTGTTGGTAAGAACGCCACCGTGTTATTCGTTTCCTTTTAGTATTTTCTCGTGTTAGCTTAGGTTAGCATTGCTCCTCGTCTCATCGCTATGAGCTTTAGCCTCGCAGCTAACTTGCAGTTGTTTTTATCTGGTTATTCGGTCAAAGTTTACACCAGCAGGTTAATCAGCTTGTTAGGAGGTTGTTATTGTTGTCTTCTGAACTCAAATACAGATATATTATCGAGATGTTGCTTATTAAAATACAAATTCTATAATATGGCGAGACAATATACTAAAAGCTCTGTGTGTCGAGGTGACAGGTGACACCGACACTGTCCTAACAAGTGACATATTTCAATTTATATAATGAAATTAAAATGTATGGGGCAGTAACCAACGATTTATTATTTGATTTTCCAAGTGACACCTTCAGACATCATTGCAAAACCCCCCCAAATGTACCTATTTTCAGTTTACATATTAGAAGATGGACCTAATGTTTTGCATTTCTTGAGAAACATCTGGAATAAATCAGTTGGCAATTCAATTTCTGTTCATTTTTCCGTTAACTGATCTTTAAGTTATAAAAATACAATACGACATTATTTATTCTAAAATGACAAATGAGCTTCTCCTTGATAAACTGTTCGTCAAACAAAATAACACAAAAAGTATTTATCAAATTATTAGATAATGAAAATAACTTCCATTATTCTGTTTTGTATCGGGGTTCTCATAGTTTTCCATGTTTTTATTTCTCCAGGTAGACGGGCTCGCTCCACTCCTTCCCATCCGATTCGGTTCTTCCCCGCTGGGAGTTTGGCTTCTGTCCTCGCTCACCATCAGTGCCTGTGTTCCCTGACTCCAGATTCGTCTTTACCCTTGTTGACCTGTAGTTTCAGCCCATCTCGTCCATAACAACCTCTGTCTCTGTCAATGGCTGGGCGCGGTGGCGGATCAACCAGGCCAAATGGAGCCACGGCAGCAAACAAAATCTGCCAATTCAAACTGGTGCTGCTGGGGGAGTCGGCAGTGGGCAAGTCCAGCTTAGTGCTGCGCTTTGTCAAAGGCCAGTTTCATGAATTCCAGGAGAGTACCATTGGAGGTAGGAGACAAAAACACTTTACGGTCCAATACCCAGCCCCCGTGTAGGTGTCGTTCACTAAATACAGCATTGGAGATCCTTTACTTGCTGCATACATGCACGTGATCTTTCAGGAGGATGGAAATATATACGTGGTCCTAAAACGCTAAATAATTCCGCTGATCTTTATTACTTACTTTCCTCAGCGGCCTTCCTCACTCAGACCGTCTGTCTGGACGACACCACTGTGAAGTTTGAGATCTGGGACACGGCCGGTCAAGAGCGCTACCACAGCCTGGCTCCAATGTACTACCGAGGTGCTCAGGCGGCCATCGTGGTCTATGACATCACCAACACAGTAGGTTTCACCTGCAGGGAAACAATGGGGGACGGAGTCTTATCAGCCGGGAGCAATGGGATGAACTCCGATGGGCTGTAGTTTTGTTAAATGTTATATCTTATAGAGCTGTATTGGGTTTGTTTGGCGGCAGAGTAGAGTACACTCTCCAATTGTTGGTCATTTAAGTCTAAAATTAGACCTGTTGGTGTTCAGACTTGTGGGTGTTTTGACGTCGCACACAAGTGTACTGCTATGACCCACCTGGGTTAAATATAGTTGTCATGTAACTACACCGGGTGAGAGCAATATTAATAAAGTTTCTCGCTCTATTAGGATACTTTTGCACGAGCAAAGAACTGGGTGAAGGAGCTGCAAAGACAAGCTAGTCCCAACATCGTGATTGCTCTGGCTGGAAACAAGGCAGACATCGCAAACAAGAGAGCTATAGACCTTCAGGTATGAAGATGCAGAAACATAAATCATTTCAGATATTCACAGCCTTATCCTATTTATAATTTAATACAATTGTATTAAACTTATCAGTACTGTAAATGTTTTGTAGTATCCTTAATATCTAAATTACGTTCTTAGGAGGCACAAACATACGCTGATGACAACAGTCTACTCTTCATGGAGACATCAGCCAAGACTGCGATGAACGTCAATGAAATTTTCATGGCTATTGGTAAGTGCTTCATGCCGCTGAGTCAAATGCCCCTTTCAACTGCTCCCACAGATGGCAAGACTTAAGTTTACCGCCCACTTATTTCTGCAGAAAAGTTAAATTGCTCACTAGTTTCCAGACAAGAGAACCGACACAGCTTGAAGGTGAACTGAACTGAATAGGAAAAGATTTCCACTTGACCTAATGACTTGTGCACACAAATGAACATCAATATTGTTTACCGTTAATGTTGAAGCACATTTAAGGGGACGTCAGCGATAACACAACTTTGCTTACAGGCAAAAGCGGACTAATGTCCACATTGCTTCATCCAAAAACAAAAGAAACAACATCCAGCTGCCTCGCTCAGATTAGATCGAAAAGAGCTGCTTGTTTCTAAGAGATGTTGGGTGCAGAGATCAATAAATGAAAAGGTTGTAAGTGTGAAGCTGAGAGTTTATTTTTAATGCTAAGCATGGTGAACAAACGGCATTAATGGGAAGGAATAAATTCAGTATTTGTCGACACTAAAATGGCAAAAACACAGCTGCTAGCCCGCTGCTAACACACTTTTTCCCCTTAGTGACCAGTGTCAATAAATAGATTAGTGTAACCTTTGTTTTGTATGTTGCAACTCTGAACCTTTTTAAACTTATTCAAACACCTGTGATTCTGTCCCTGCAGCAAAGAAGCTACCGAAGAGCGATCCTCAGGGTGGAGCTGGACAAGCGGGGCGGACCAGGACAGGAGTGGATCTACAAGAAACTGCTCCTCCGAGCCGCAGCAGCCAGTGCTGCGGCGGCGGTGGCGGCGGCGGCAATTAGCAAGTACAAAACAATGAACTTAGTAAGCGAGCCCTGAACATCGTTTTAAGGACGGCACGTAGCTAAAAACCCAGAGTGGCAGGAGAGGGCAGAGCCATTCGCCACCTCTGCACTTAAACTGAGATTACAGATGCGATTATCTGGATCCTCTTTGATTAAAGGAACTTCTTCTTCTTCTTCTTCTTCTTTTTTTTTTTTTAACAATCATAAGCTAGAGGGAACAACCAAGATCCCTCACTATTCTCTTTCTTTCCCCTGTGTATCTATCTATCTATCTATCTATCTACCTCCCTCCCTGTTCATCTTCAGCCTCCGTCTCCGTTGATTGAATTCTGTCTTAAATGATTTATTTTGATGGGTGATGGTAAGGTTGTTTCGCCATTTTCCCTATTTGTCTGAGTGTGTGTCTATGTATGTGTGTGTATGTATATAGTATATACACACACATGTACTGTATATTTGCAGTTTACTTTTCTACTCTTGTCATTTCCCTCTACATTGATCATCATCATGAAAGATACAAATACCCAACTACTAATGCTGAAATTGCAAACGACAGTTACAAGTTACGAGTTATTCTTCAAGGCTTTTGTCTCATTGCGGTTTAGAGAACAGCACTTTGTTGTTGTTGGGGACCTGGACATGACACAGCTATGAGGACAGATCTACTTTGCTTATTGAAGCAGGTTGTAATTTAATAGGCTACACATCTGAAGATGTTTATGAACTGTGCAACAAATGCAGTTGTTTGCATTCATTGTGTATTGATACCTGTAACACCAGAGAGTTGTTAGCCTTTTTTAAAAGAAATGTTAAAATATCTTGTAAATCTAAAAAAAAAAGAAAGAAAAAAAGTAATAAATAATGTGCAAGAATGATTTTGTTTTGAGTTGTTTTGCAGTGGAATGGTTTGGCATTGCATGATTATTTATGTTTGGGTTAGTGCAGGTGGGATGAAAGTACAGCCTCCCTAAATAGGGTTTTTAGATGCGTAAGATACGTCATCGGCCCAAATACAAGACGTTATTTTTTTGTGAAAATGCTTTTAATGCAAATTTTAATTTGGATTCTAAATTGGAATCAGACGTACCATGTTTATTTTATCAAGATTATTTTTATAGATTTATTTTTATGGATTTCCTTATTTTGTTTTTATTACAGCTTGATGATACACCTGCCTTACTGAAAGGTGTTCTCATCGTCTGTAAACAGGTGTTGCAATAAGGTGATTCTGGCTCATAGAGGCATTACAAGCTACTTTAATATATATTGTTTTGCTAAATACATGTTTAATTCTATATACATGTTCATGTTTTGCAGTTAAGACATGTCTCTCCCTGCCTTCTCCTCAAGGCTAGTCTTCAGCTCGATTTAGAACAAAATAAATGTTGTAGGTTGACGATATATTTATTTTTTAGGATTAAAGCACGGATGTGCAGCAAATACATTTTTGTTTGTTCGTAAAGCTATGTTAATTCCATATTCATCTCTTAGTCACAGTTTAGATCCTTAATCCTGTTACTAATAAATGTAAGCATCATATTTTTGGCCTGTTGTCTACAATGCAAAAACAGTTTAAAAATGTACTGAAAGACTTGAAACAATCAGCACAAACGGCATCAGTAAATATTTCCCACCACTAGATGGCAGCAGAACCCTTTAATCTAGATTCACTGGTCACAAATGGATCCATTTGAAGGCATGTGTTATTCATTTACATGCGGTCAGTATTTCCTAATTAAAGGAAATTTAAAAGAAAACATTTAATTGATGTAAAAATAATTGGCAACTATAATGAATGATAATGGATTCAAAATCACGTTCAGTCAAAAATTTCAATTCGATAGCTTCATGAAATTTAGCATGTGTATGCATACACACACGTGTGTGAAAGTGGACAGTGTGTGGATTGACAATGCAAATAGCCATTACTGGCAAAGTGAGAACAAAGAGGATCAGAGGATCAGCATGATGGTAGTGGTGCGCTCACCTGATTATCCCACAGCTAATGTTAAAGCAGGGTTTCTCTGGGTTAATGCAGCACTTCACTCTGTTGTGATGCACTCTTAAATAGAGCTCTCTTTCAGGTCTTAAGTCTATTAGCTAAAGAAACTGTAGAATAACTTGAATGACATCCGTGCAAAGGAGGTGTTCAGAGTCTAAAGGATTTAGAAAAGTATTTGTTGCAGATGCCTGAGCGTTTGGGAATGTAGAGTACAATATGAAATAGTGAAAATCCTCTCAACATACGCTCACTCTGCTAAGTTTATTTGGTATTATTGAAACTGTTTTAGAGAGTTGTTGATTCAACTTAATGGTCATTTTGGAAGCTCTCGTTTGTGGCCTAACCAGCCCGATCTTGACTATTTAGTACAATAAATTAATGGTCAGTAACAGTGGAGAGACATGATCTCAATCACTGTATTTTGGAGACAGTATCTAAGTTTCCATCCAAATGGAGCACACATTTAAAATGTATTTACAGTATGTCTGCAAAATAAAATGTGTGTTTCTGTCTACTACTGTTTTGTGAATGTTAGAAGTTGGTTGTATTGAGATAAACCTTTGGGAACATAAATGTTCCAGTAGGTTGCCATTAAAGCATCGCAGAAGAAGAAAAAACAAAATGACGCAATTCAGTGCCAGTTAAACCTCAATTGGTCTGATCCTTCATGTTAAAGAAAACTACGACTATGTAAAGATTTTTGTACCCGAAAATGGCGAAAACTGTCCATTAGGCTGACAGCCCTATTATTGTGGTTTTGATGCCTCAAACACAACATTAAATCCACTTTTAAATCCATTTGAACACACACACATATATACAGGCGCACACTCGCTTCAGAGACAGGCAGCGTCTCTGCCAAAAGCAGGCTGCCGCTCTGTTCACAGTAAATGATTTCTCATTTGTTGAGCTGTCAATCAAGATGTGTTCTGTCAAAAGAGAAACTCATTTCTTACTTGGCCTCTGTGAATCATAATGGTGTGAGCGCTGGACTGAAATTGACTGCGTTTAGTGGAGGAGATTTGCAGACTAAAGGAAATGTGCCCTGAAAAACAGATGCAACCTTTTACGTGTTCACATTATTTGTTGTTTCTTTTTTTTCATTCGCGGAAGAACTGAAACAGAAAATGAAGCTTTAGCATGTTGCGGTTGTATCAGCAATGAGGATTTATAGCTTCGCTTTAGTACCGTGATGTTATGTGTTTTTTTTATAGCCGTTCAAAAAGACAGAAAACAGTCAAACAATTCCAAAATGCTCACTGATAGATTCCTTCTATCTTCCTGGACAGAAAGAAACATCATTAAATACCAAGGGCACAGGGACGCGGTATCTGGATTGCATTCTGTGGTTTGAGATTTCCGCTGATAGCAGGCCCAATGTGTAATGTGGTGCAATAATTGTCTCTTATCTAAAATGAAACATCTCACTGTGTTGCCACCGGATAGGATGCTGGTGAGGAAGTGGAACCAGAATAAAGCACAATAAACAGTATAATGGATAGTGATACTTTTAAATGTCTTGCATTATGTCGCATTGTATTTGCCAAAGCTCTGTTTTACTGAGCATCCACACTGTCTCAGTAGTTCACTGACACATTGATTACGGATTACTGAAACCCAATTAGCTTGTTCAGTGGCATTCTGAAGACGGGCCGTGTTTTCTTGGTTCCTGATACAAAGGATTGAAATATTAAAGTAAGAGTTTGACATTTTGGGAAATGCGCCTGTTCGCTTTCTAAATAAGAAGATCAACTCTCATATCTGAACGGTACAGCCAGCAGGCGGGTAACTTAGCTTAGCTTTGCTTAGCCTAGCTTATCATAAAGGCTAGAAATAGGGGGAAAGAGCCAGCCTGATAACCAGCTCTGAAGTTCTCTAGATTCGTTTTTATGCATACATTTTTGTAAAAATCAATCAAATTTGTCACATTTTTTTGGACAAATTTAGGCTAGCAGTTTCCAGTCTTTATGCTACGCTAACTGGCTGCTATCTGTAGCTTCATATTTACCATGCAGATATAGAGTGCATGTTTGCACTTCCGGTTCCCTTGTCTAGAAGTCAATGGTGTTTTGGGTTAACCCGAATTTTAGGGTTTTGTTCTACGACATACATTACATCAGTAAATCCCCTCGTGTAAATTTAGTGTCATAAAAAGTTTGTTGCTAATAAATGACTAAATAAGACTACAAAACATCATCACGCTGACTAGTTCAGCTTTAAAGCCTTGTGTATTTTGCGAGTCGTTTAGCTGGTTTAACTTCAACAATCATACAATCAAACATGTAAGTACCATGAATGTGTTTGCCATGAAGCTTATTTTCTGCAATAATCCAAAATAAAATGTCAAAATCCCATTGACTTTTTGTCGAAGGAACCAGTGCGATGCTAACTTCCAGGGTTGGCCTGTAACAATATGTCACCCCAACAGTCTTTATGCAACACTTGACTTCCATTAAGACTGAGAGGAAACTATTTTATTTTGAGCAGGTATTAAAAAGTATCAAACCTCACAATCTTCCCAAATGTCACATTTGCATATAGTTATTTTTGTGGGGAGATTTGCTGCCTCACACTCTTCTTAGAGTAACATATACTGTGTATATGGGCTATATTGTAGGACTTTGTTATTGAAGTCGATTCAGGATTTCATCTCACGACAAGATAATACAAAAAAATACACCTCCAATGTTTCCATGACTCACCTGGATGTTGAATAGCCTTCAGACTTTGAGAAAGTGACTCACAAAACTTTTTTTTTTAAGTATTTGAAGGACTCCAGCAGTGAATTCAAGTCGTCTTTCAACCTCTCATCGTCTTTTCTTTGGAACCTTTTCTTCAAGGAATCATCGTTTTCTGGAGCATCTTTTTAATCCAGTGGACTTCATCAAGGCCAGAGATGGACGACTGTGTGCACTCAGCACATCTTACCCAGAGTGCATTGTGATCTTTCATCATTTTCACCAACCACTTTTCTGAGAAGCTTTCATCATCATTC